TGAAAGTGAAAAGGGTAGCAGCGAGCTGTTACAAACAAGAACACAAAGCGTGCCACCCGAACACGAGTTTTTTCATTTGCACACAAATTTTGAAGAAGCAACACGTACATACAAAGTTTCGGTTGCATGATGCCAACAAAGATGAAATGAGAATGTTTTATGTTTTGTTATGTGAACTGCATTTTAGCAAAGTAACATTCAAAACATAAATTTAAACAAAACGTGGAAAATAGTAATTAAATACAAACATATTTATGTATATATACGGTTAACATTTTAATAATAATTGTAAGAAAATCTAAATATCAATCATCATATGTAATTATTGAATTGGTAAATAAACTTTACGCAACAATTATTTAAGTTTTAAAACATGAAATCTTATTTTTTCAAAATATACAAAATTTTTAAACGGTTCAATAGCTTAAACATGTGCTTTATCAGCTCGATCATTCCAACCGAACCAAAGACAATTTGGTAAAATAGCTTATGCACAATACGGGCGTCGGCGTCCTAACATACATATGAAAACGGTCTCGATCAGTACGAAACCACGAAAGCAATGATATAAGGCCAAATAAATTTATTAAGGCCATGCAGAGCCACTACTCCTTCTCCGACAATATTTATAACTCCAAACGAAAATAGATACAGGTATATTTTTAAAAGTATCAGCTTATGATACTGAAGTTTTTCATGGAAGGTATGATCAATGGCAGTCCTTCCAGGACATGTTCACAGCCGTATATATAAACCATACTAAATTTTCACGACAACAAAAGTTGTACCATCTCAGGTATTTACAAAACAAAAGGAAAGCAAACAGCATCGTCAAGCGTTTCACTTTGATGAAAATTTTAATCTGGCTTTGCATGCAGTGGTCGAAAGATACGAAAATGAAAGAGTGATGAAGGAGAACCATTTTAATGAATTTACCGAAAATACAACAAGAAACCAGAAATAATTTGACAAAATATACACGACAATGACTAATTGCTTATCTGTGTTAGAAACACAATATATATCCACAGAATCATGGGATCCTATTCAAGTAAATGTTTGTGCAGCGACACTACCTGATACTGCTTTGCTACAATGAGAGCAATGCCTGGTATCACGAAAAAAAACGCCGAAATGGTATCAAATTTAAGAATTCCTCACTGCTCAATATGATATAATAGAGCAAGTAGACAAAAAGGTTACTAAGCCAAAAAGTTATCAAAATGGCTTAAATAAAAACTTTTTTAAACATAAACTTTGCATCAACTGTCTGCCCAATTCTCACGGCAATGTAGAAAGTCAGCCATAGGCTCTGGGGTCCACATTTCGGGTTTCTGGGAGCTTGAATAGCAATGGTCGGATTTAAAAAATGTTTAGACCTGAGATGGCATTCCCTAAGGTTGCAAAGTTTTATCCTTATATATTAATTGCTGCTTGATTTGTGTACTGGGTAGTGAAAAAATCAGATGGTATTTAAAGTTGTGTTCCATGGGAAGTAGGCTTGAAAATAGCAAACTTGAGAATTTTCAGTGTTAAATGAGAAAAATAATGTCAATAACAATGTAAAGAGATGTACGCTTACAGATTCGTTAATTTACAATGCGCAGACGACTCTGCATATAACTTATAGCTATATTGACATTATATTTGGTATGAAAGCACATAGGTATATATACATATGTTGTATGTATAAATTGACTTATTTCATGATTAATTGCACAGAATATTTTGAAATATAAAATAAAGGTTTGTATTATTACCTAAATATGTAGTTAATATAGGTTTGATGAGCTATATTGTTTACCCAATATATTGGGGAGAACACAATATTTTATTTGAACACCAATACGATTCCTTGAAATGGAAATACCTGCGGATTTAAGATCTATGATTTATTTGATTTTTATTGTTAATTGATACAATGTACATATATGTATATATATATTATATATGTATGACGATTGGCGGTGTCGGTAGCGAATGGAAATTCGCCGACAGAACGGGGTAGATGGAAGTCACTGTTGCACGAAAAAGATTGACGTCGCGATGTCGAAAAAATATAATCGCAGCACGCAGGATCGCTGCTGTCCAATGTGTCATGGAATCAAAAATTGAAAGTTGTATACGTAGCGCGCTGGATCACTTTCTAATCGAATGAGGTGGAATAGCTGCAGGGACCATCCCATTAGTTAGCTGGCGATGTACACGCGCGTGGTTGTGGTGTGTTATATTAGGGCGCGCCAGTTTTTACCGCGCAGAGTCGTGTGTATGTAGGGGGAGGCTAAGCTCATTTAAACAATATATTTGTGGTCGCACATATGAACTTACATATATATATGTAACTGTGTGTTCAGGTAAATATTGTAGCGGATTTCTCGATAAATCATCTACCGTGTAACTCACTCTTAAGTTCAATCACTGGATTGTTAAATAAAAGTCCCAATTTAATGGCTATACACTTATCTTAATTTCTCATTCTAACAACTTAGCACGGTTGGTAAGCTCGAATAACGAGCAATGAGTGTTAAGTTGTTGGAATTAGAAATAAAGATACCCAGTACAAGGGTCCTCACAGTCGAAAGAGCTGGAACTGCGTATGTCAGGGCAGGTGTTGAAAGAGGAGGAAGCGTGTGAACCAGTAAAAGGTTCCTCACATTTAGAAGAGCAAGAAGCTTGGATACCAGCACAAGTGTCCTTACAGTTGGAAGAGCAGGAAGCGTGTATACCATTACAGGTGGAAGATCAGCATAAAATTGAACCTGAAACGGATGACTCTGTGCAGGAAGATCCAGAATTGGAAGGTGCATTACATAAGGTGGAGTTGAAATAACTACAGGAAGGCCAGTCACAAAATCATATTGGGCAGAGCGGAGCAGTTTAAAGTTAGTGTATGGCTGCTTGCATCGAGTATGGAAAAGCGAAAATAAGCAACCCTTCCGAGTACTTATGGTTGTTCCAAGGGTTGGAATTCCTGATGTTCTTAACGTGCAGTACAAATGTCCAAGAGGAGGGCACTTGAGAGACATGAAATCCTTGGAGCATTTGAAGCAAAGGTTTTATTGGACTGGTTGTCAATCAGCTATAAAAAGGATTGCGAAATATGCTGAGAACATTGTAGCTAAAGGATCAAGGAGTCCAGGAGTCATGGGCAGATGAAACAGCACAATTCGCGTGCGCCAGTTGAGAAAATAGGTGTGTATGAAGATGGTCCATTCTCCACCAATAAATTAGGAAATAGTCATGTTTTGGTAGTCAAGGACCATTTCAATGAATGGCCACAAGTATACACAATTCCTAACCAAGAGACTGAACCAGTGACGGAGGCATTCATCAACAAGTGGGTAACGAGATTCGGTGTTCCAATGGAGTTACGTTCTGATCAAGAATGGAATCTCGAATCAGCTTTAAGTCAAGGGATGTACCAGAAACTGAGTATCCGGAAAACGGATGGAATTAACTCCAAGAAGAGAAGGACGGCTAACGATGTCAGCACCAGCCTAGAAGACGAGATGGGGGACATAAAAGCTTTGTGTTTGGTATCGCAAATATGTCTAATCGGGACGATCAGACTTAGGTGGAGGGCAATGTGACGAACACGGATGATAGAACAAAATCGAATCAACAATAAACTGCCAGAAGCAACTAGTTAGCGAATTCGTAGTTGCCAGAATGTTCTAGAAGCAATGTTTTGTTACAGATTTACTATATAAGGGCTGCCGGATTGTGCAGCAAACACAGTTCTAGTTAGAGTGTTGTCGTGATAAGAGCAATTAAGCTATAAGCAAGAAGTTGTAAGCTCGAATAACGCGCAATAAGTGTTAAGTTGTTGGAATTAGAAATAAAGATAAGTGTGTAGCCATTAAATTGGGACTTTTATTTAACAATCCAGTGATCGAACTCAAGAGTGAGTTACAGGTAGACGATTTATCAAGAAATCCGTTACAATATAATAAATAAATGATATTCTACATATATATATGTGAAGTTATATAATTTGATGATTTATGTGGTACATTTATTATATTTATTTTCTTTTATCATTAAAAGTTTCTTTTACAAGCGTTCGCACATATTTGGACTCACGAATCAATGTAAAATCTCCGTTGACGCGTCAACCATTTGGCCAAAGCTCATGATTTTTGTTTTCATGTCAAAGAGTTGTAATTAATGTAGTGTGTTTGCAGGCGAAGAAATCCAGAGGTCTATACATATTTATTTAATTCTATCGTACATTTTTTTTGACATGAATCAATTGTATTAAATGCAAATATTGTGCAGTATGTTTGTACAATATTTATATGCATGTAATAAAGTAGATCTACCATAAATAAATTTTAGTCAGTAAATATTACTCGAAATTATTACAACGCGTCACTTGAATTTAGTTAATCAGTTAAAGTATGTAGTTTTTTATAAACCGAAGGTTTATTCAATAGATGTCATGAGTGCAAAATAACAGCCCTACTCACATAGGTTTATGAGTTTTGTGAGGTGTACCTTATGCTGTTGTAAATTCAAAAGCTAAAATACTCACAATTTCCTTACAAATCTGTGTCGTCTGAAAGCAACCCCCAAAATACTAAACAGTTGAGTATGTTTTGTTTAATTTAATATTTTTAAACAAATTTGTAAATATTTGAATGAAATAGAATTGAATTTTTTTTATTTATTTTTGTTTTATATATAACTTTTTTCTAAGTATTAATAAAAAGGCATCTATGTTTAAGAAATCCGGTAAAGATTTTATTTGTAAATAAGTATGTATGTATGTATTTAATATGTGTACGAATATGAAAATATTTTTACTTAAATAATTTAGTTATTTTATTACATACATAACATATGTAATATGTAATAATAGCACTCTCAAAGATCTGGTGAATTCTTCACACGAAAATATAATTATATATAACTGCAATATTATAAGAACAAATATAATACGAGACAATACAAAACAAACTCAAAAGAAACATATGCATGCAATACACATGCATTCAACATTTAACAATACAAACATATTTATTTAGCTAGTTTAAGAACTTGCATCTTAACAAACATGCACATGCATTGATTTTTACATTTAAAAATAACCGATATCGCATGACACATACACATTTATTTAGATAAGATAGATTTCTAAGATAGTATAGAAGCAATGAAAATAGTGAAATAAAACTACATGTTGTAAGCCTAAAAATAAATGAAATGATTATATTTAAATCAGAATTATTAAATTTGCAAAATTACTTACTCTTCTTGGCAATCGATTTCTTTATTTTGCTTCGTTTAATTTTACAGCAAAATGCTTTTCACCTCATGTGGTGAATTTTTTCTTATGAAGTTCAAACAAGATTAATTTCCGAAATAAGTTGTGCGGATGTAAATTGCTTGATGTATAAACATATATATGTATTTATTATAAACTAAGTAGTCAGCAGTCTCCAAGGGAAACAAATTTGTTTATTTTGTCATAAATGTTTACCATACCGAATTGATTTTTATTATAACAAGCCATATAAAGTTAAGTTATGAATTCAGAAAAAGTAGAAAGCGAGCCTTATAAAGAAAAGTTTAAAGAGAAATATGAATTTTTCAATTATTTACTTCATCCGAAAACTGAAATTAGTTCACTTGTAGAAGACACCGAAAAAGAAATACAAATTAATAAGTTTTTAGATTTCATAAAAGTTTCTTGTAAAGTAAATAATGTTGTATCAATGCAAACTAATCAACCAAGGCATTTGACGTGTAATACATCAGAAAATTATCACTCAGATCTCCCGAAAGATGAATTGAATTTTGAAAAAATGGTGGATAGAGAGATCTTTGAAGGCATTTTGGGGCAAAGATTTGAAAATAAAATAATGAAACCAAATATTGTACAAGATAGCGAAATAAACGGAATCGATGATAACTTTCAACTTTCCCAAAGGCGGAGTACCGTGGGGTTGGCCATTGGATCATTTTCTCGTCGTAGTTTCAAGAAATTAGAAAACGGATTAAAAAAGGAAGAATATGTGCAAACAAAACTATATAAGAAACTAGACTATGTTATTAATGAAGGAATGGCTGACTCTGTTCTATCCTTTATTTGCCCAATTCCTGTACCAACTTCTTTTCCTAATCAATTAAAACTTAAACAAACAACTAAAAAAGAATCGATTAATGCTAAACAAATTCTTTTGGAGAACACAGATTCTGAAAAAGTGAATAATAACGGAAAACTTAATGAAATTGAAAATGTTAACGACAGAAAGGGATTAAATTGTGAAACTTATCCGAACGATGCAAAGTCAATGAGAAAGTTAAGAAATATGGCAGATACAAAAGAGTACGCTAGTCAGATACCCATAAATACGTTTCAAATTTTAATATGATATATTTTATTTCATTAAAATACAGACCTGAAATAGTTATCCATGTATGCGATGAGGTAAAAAATACTACAAGAGATTTTAGCTGCTCACAACGGTTATTGGTGAATAAAATGGGATACTTCGCGGAGGTAACAGCTGGACAAAAGCTCGACGAAATGGACATTTCGGTGCATTGCGATATACAAATATTCGATTGGTTGATAAAATGGATGAAATTAACGGATTTTGTTGAATCATCAGGTTGTAAGAAACCCACAATTGAAGTTTCAGAAGATATGCCACGATTTGATGCTAACAACGTAATTCCTATATTGGTGTCTGCCGGATTTTTGCAAGTAAGGTTGATTTGTGTTTAAAAAATTTATAGCTTTGAAGTTAATATTACACATATGATAACATAACTTCCATGTTATAAAAGATCTTCTTGGTTAAAAAAAAGTACAAAAAAGGTTTAGTTACTTAGATTGGGGAAATATGCATTGATGGGCTAAATTTAGACACGAGGATACTTAAATATATGATAATTGTAAGAAAGCTACAAGTAACATATAATTGTTTTTTTTTTTCGTTTGATTTTGACATACTTTTTGCAGCGTATTTCCATACTTGGCTTTTTGTTACGTATGCAACTGCGTTATGGAACACTTTTACTGCAAAGTTTATTTTAGCGATAACTGTTTTGTTTTTGCGAGTCCATAAAGATAAGAAAGGATAAAATCGAAACCAATAGTTAATTATAAATAATTTATTCACTTTTATCGCAAATGGAAGACATACATAATTCAAATATATGGGATATTACAAATATTTATTATATTCTTGGCATAATAAGAGCATTTTTTGCTATACTCACTAAATTTAATGGAAATTTAGTATAAATGAATAAGAAAGCTTATCAATCTGACTCCGGCATCGTCATATTTTTGATGTCTTGCTGAATGTAAAAGTAATGATATTATTTTGTTTTAATTACATTTAAGAAATTATAGTAAATAATAGTTAAAAAAAAACTAAATAAAACAAGCTTTAAAGGAATTTTTACACCTCCTCTTATAAAGCTCTACCCTACCATCTTGTTTGTGAAATCTAATGCTTATGGCGCATTTATTTCGTCAGTTATCGCACCTTTAGTATATTTTAACATAATTGTTATATGGGGAGTGGGCGTGGTCATTTTCTGATTTTGCCCATTTTCACAGCGTATAAAAAGGGGTTAAATGACTTCCTCTCAGCAAATTTGGTTGAATTAGCTTCAGCGGTTTGGAAGATATATAAACTATTTAGGGGGCGGGGTTACGCCCACCTTCAAAATAATAGGAAACTGTTATCAAATTATTGCTTTGTCATCTGTCATTGGCGTATTTAATTAACGTGAAGCACAATAAAGCAGTCACCTCTTTAAAATGTGGGATGTGTGCTTTGGTTCTTTATCCTGTTGGTATATACACTCCTACCAAGGTCTAGTTTATCCACGGATGCTCTTAAATTTTGTTCCATGATCCATTTTCCCGTTCACACAACCTAAGTTTCCACTCCAAACGTTGCCACAGCTAGGACCGCCGAGACCCTCGGGTAAAAGGGTGGGTTCCCAACAGGAACGTTTCTAATATTTTATAAATTTTAACAACTATCTTTCCACTTACTACTTTTAATGTAAAAAATAAGTCAAATACGACGTAGAGTTTTATGCTCTCATCAAATCTGTATTAAATTTGCTGTCTTGTTGATGTTGGGTGGAACGAATTTTTGTTTCATACATAGACTTTCAGCCAAATATATTTTTTCAGATTATGCCGAAATATATGAATATACGGATGGCAAGACTTGATAGTTAAAAAGAAGACAGAAACATCTCATTCAAACATTTATTTACCAATCTGGCTACTGAAAAAACGGTTATTTTTAAATCTGTTGACTATTATGATTAAATCCTGCAATCTTCAATTATTTGGAACTTAGAAGTGAGCTCTCCGCGTTTTAGCAACTAACTAAACGAACGTTTACCACTTGATGCAGAAACGGATAAAGTTCAAAATATTATCGAAGCGATGCAAATATTTGGAAAATTTCTTCCTAATTTGATTAATCTTAAAAATTGATGGCATTTAATAAGTTGTATGAAGTTTCAAAATTTGCATAGTTTACGTGTCTGAATGAATAGCTTCATTTGACAATTTATCAGATACAACAACGAAATACTTTTTTGCAAAATTTTTTGCGCCGCTTTGAATTCATCTTCTTTCATATCATGGAACTGCCATAGATGATGACTTCTTTTGAATTCAATTTCCATCTACTTCTTCATCCATGTTTTTTTTCTTATTCATTGTAAAATCGTCTCAACATGCTCTAAATTATCTTCAACAATTTGCGTTCATTAAAAACTGTCACTGGTCGCGCAGAAATTGCAAATCCACAAGAAGATATTCTATATTTCTAACTTCAGCGTTGATGGTGTCATTGACCTCTTGAAGAACCAAGTTTCTCAAAACGCACTCAAACTTGCTCATATATTTCAAAATTCCATCAACGTCTTGACGAGTTTCTGCGGTAAGGTTGAGTTTTTTAACTTCTTTCAAGAATTTATCCCTAAAAGATTTTTCGCAAATAACTTGTCGGCATCGATTCTGTCAGTTTTTTCGTGCCAATCTACAAAAGCGAGAAAACGTTCATTTATCGATAATCATAATTTTTAAATTAATGTTCATATTAATCACCTATTAAAAGCTTTGAGAACTCCAGGCCCGGGAGAATAATTTTCCTTAAAACCTTTTCTTTATTGTTTGATAATTTTATTGACAAACAATTTTCTTCTTTACGAATCAGCTTTAAATTGATGGTTTACAATATTCTAAATAGCATGAAATGCAAAAATCCTTTATTAACATATGCAAGTATTTTTCTATGAAAATTAATAAAAGTTTTGGGGTAGCAGATTTTGCAGCCATTTCATTTTATGTGCATGTGTTTTGTTGTTGTGCCAATGCACAAATTTTTGATGCGATCAGGTTTAAAAGCAGCAGTTGGATTGTTTTTGGTCCTGGCATGCGAGTGAAGGTTGACATTCCTAACATCCTTAGCATATGTATTGTCAAACTTTAACAGCGTTGGTAGCGACTGCAAGTAAAGCAGCGGGAGCGAGATAATCCATACTCACATTATCAGCAAACAGACACAGCAGCATTGGACGGAGAAGTATCTGTACCAGCAACATCGGCAGTGGTGAGATTGGAGCTGGCGGCAGATGGAGCAGCAGAGAATGCATTCAATACTGATGCAGAGGATTTGCCGCTGTCGGTATGGTTTGCTTTCTAGTTTTTTTTTAAAAAGATGCTTGTATTTAAGTATTTACATATACTTATAAATAATATATGTAAGAAAAAATAAATTTTCCACACTAAAAAACGTTGTTTGTCTCTTACTTTCCGATTATATTTTTTTAAGCATTTCATGAATACCGCAAAATTGAATTTTATCTCGTTCTGTAATACTGGTTGGTTCGTATTGCTTTCGTGATTTACTAAAAAGTTCAGCAATGAACTGGATGCACAGCTATTTTCTTTATTAAGTTCATCAGGGGAACTTGTCATATATGTAGATATAATCTACTCCGAACAAAACAGCAAATGGAAACACATTTTCCTTACAGTTGAGCCAAAACAGCGTGCATTCGTAATTATCTTATCTGTAATAAAAAAAAAACAAGTAAGGAATGGCTAAGTTCGGGTGTAACCGAACATTTTATACTCTCGCAAAGTAAAGTAGTATATGAGAATTCCGTATATATTTTAATTAGAAGTAAGAAGTGTTGCTTCAGCTATTTACATTCACATTGAAATTAATACGAGCAGTTTGTATACTAAGTTTACTCAAAATATGACAGATCGTACTAGGGGTTTACATAAAAATGCATTACAACTGTATTGAAGAATATGAAATGAAATTGTTTTTTGACAAAGGCAAAAAATCTTATTTTTTATGTCAATATTATTATATATACATGGGTAACTTAAGATTAATAAATATTAGCAATTTTACAAAATATATCTTTTATTTATTTAAATTATATGTAATCTTTACAATTTTAATCACACATTTTTAGAGAGATTCCTATACAGATATTTGAACAATTCTTGAACATCTTTCGCAATGCCGAGACAATACAAAACATAATATAAACAAACACAAAAAACATTCATGCATTCAACACTTATAGCTCAAACAGTCACCGACATTCTTCCCTTCCGTACTTACCGCCAAAATCAGTTGTTCTCTTTTGTTTTAATTTCACCAATGTTGCCATTGTTCTATTTTTATACACGATTTCTCACACATTTAGTTTTTCCTAATGTAAAAGCTCAAAACTAAAATCCAACTATTAAAATTAGTTTACCTATTTATAAATAAATGTATTCGACGTGATTTTGAGTTATTTTAAGAATATTTCAAATATATTCAAGTTTATTTTTTAATTACTACAAAATATCGAGACTGGTTGCAAAAAATTGCGCTCTCATAATATAGGTCGTATCAGCTGATTCAGTCCACGGTTTTGCGGCGGTGACTATTTGAACTATTAACAATACAAAACATATTTACCTAGTTTAAGAACTTGCACATAAATATACCTAATATTATATATTCAATACACATGCACATGCATGACAATACAATATCCATGTACACATGCAGATTTAGGAAGATAAAATATATCTTAAAAATATTTGGTCTTAAAAGCTCAAATCAAAAATAAATGTATTGAAAAGCATACAGGCATACAGCATTTGATACTAAGAGTATACAGATTTCAAGCGCAAGTAGTATACCTAAACTTCTAAATAATAAAAGAGTAGAAAAGCCAAGAAAACTCAAGCCAAATTAAAAGCCCTGTTATTATTCAAAATACAGGCAGGACAAAGTTAGAAAGTATTTCAGCAATTTGAACAAAAAATATAAAATATATATAGAACACGGAAATGTCGAACACCAACTTTGACGTGATATGGAATGAAATCCACAGCAACCATACAAGGTCGGAAGAGATGGACACAGGGCTAACGGATAGCCTAGTGGATGCAATTAAAGCAAGGAAACGGAACTGAATACGGTCGACGAAAATATGCTTGAAATATACGAAGCAGGTATTATGGAATTGTGGGGCAGAAAATAAACAGTTATGAATGAAGAGATAGGAGATCTTTGTGCTAAGGTCATCATTAGCACACTCAAACTAAGAGGGCACAAAAAAAACAAAAACCAAATTAAAAAAGGAGAGAAAAAGCTCAGAAAAATGGAGAGGAAAGGCAAGAGTGAATTAGAGCTGCAAAACTATCGATAATCAGACCCTTCGATAGTATCGATAGTTTTTCCCCTTGAAATTAATCTACTTTTTCTTATATCTCATTTTTATGAAATAATCTTCGGATTTATTTATAAAACAAAACATGAACAATAGCGGTAATCACAAAAAAATTACAAAAGTTAAATATACAAATTTTCATGATACTATTAAACTGCCCTGGGAGCTGAGGAGTTACAATAGGTATATTTTATATAAAATATGTTTCGATAGAGTACTTTATTCCTCAGAAATCCTTTTATTTTTGTTTAAAAGAAGTGATTTGTTGACGTCGTTAGCGTCCAATTCTGTTCTCTTATCTGATATTAGCAATCCAACCTGGCTAAGCATTCTCTCCGACTCTATAAAATTAAAATTAATTAACGTGATTTCGTTTATATGCACAGTTGGCAGACTAACTACCCTCCCTAAATAAAAGAGCGGCGCGTTTTTTACAGCTCAGCGTTAACGCCGACGCGGCATCCCTAAATTAAGCGGCAACTTTACGTAAAACTCTCACTTAAATTTTTAAATTAGTACAAAAGAAATCAAATGTAAAACGAATTAATTTATTTATAATACTTACAATTGTACATTTGTACAAGCATTTAACATCGCGCTTCAAGAAATGTTTCAGAAAAGTTACAATTTTTTTGTTTTCTGCAGGCAACTTTACTTCTTAACTTGCTGTCAAAATCGAGTTTCTTGGTTTTTTGTAGCCCTCACGAATTTTTCAACGCTCAGGGATGTCGCCGCATTTATTTAGGTATGCGCCATGCAAAATTTATGGGCATAAGGAATTTTTGACAGTATATGAATAATTAAGGGACCTTACAGACGTAGATGTTGTAGATGATGACACAACAGAATAGCATCCAATAGTAGCTGACAACATGTCGATAAGACCAACTAAATGTGACCACAAACCAAGCAGGTTGGCAGCAGTAGTAGAAGAGGATAATGTTGAAATGAGGATGTAGCTGAAGTAATTGAACAAAGTTTAAAAGAGGGAGATGAAACATACATATGAGGTAGTTCAAAAGCCAATACAATAGCCGAAAAAGGGCGAAGATATCTTAGGTAGGTTGAGTTAGGCTGGCTGACTGTCACGTCATACATAGACCAACTGGTCCTTTTTTAATGTCATTTTGAAGTTTATTAATACGAGCTGACGTTTACGTTGTTCAGGACGTCAAATCTTTTTGCGAACTGTAATAGAGACTTGATATCTATGTAAGAACTGCTGAAGCTTCTAGATATATAAGTCGAATTTAGATAAGGCCGACATACGCCGAGGAGGTGTTCCAGCGTCTCTGTCATGCGTACTACACTGCTCGCATGTGATGACAGTAAGTGGTTACCTCTGACTAAGCCAACAACCGTTCTGCAGTCTTTTCGAGACCGTGTGAGTAGAAACTTGCGTGTTTTCCTTCTGCTCCTTTGCATATGATATTGACGTTCCTGTGGGCACCTAAACCATTCCATTTCACTCTGATCGGTCTGTCAGCTATTTCAGAATTTTTTTTTGTGGGTCGTTTTTAACGATTTGCGTATTTCTTGAACTGGTTCGGTAGTCAAGCGAATGGCACCTTTGGCAATCTTATCAGCTATTTCGTTTCCCGGAACCCTTGTGGCCTGGAGCCCAGTATATATGTAATCGCTTTCCAGCAGCACCTATATCCACTGCCTTTATAGTATATCTACTGCCTCCCTGTTTTTAGGAACGTCCTATGACGCAATGTAATATGAAATTATTGCTTTTATTGCCGCTTGGCTATCGACGTATATATTGATATTCTTTATGTCATTTCCTGTGCTATTAGCTATCCCAGGAGCTTTCCTGACTGCAAAGATTTCACCTAGAAGATACTGCAGTATTCTGGAAAATTGAACTGCCTAAGATCTAACTCCGCGCAATAGATCCCGGCAGCCACTTCATCAGCCATTTTTGATCCGACCTCAAAACGCTCTCTCCCAGATAAAGCTTGAGGGTATGTGGTCTACATTATCCACCGACTCACTGCCTATTGAGCTATGTCCAAAGATTCTGGTGGAAAATTCACCTAATGCCGCCAATCTTGCCGTCGATTTCGCTGCCGAGCTTTCCACTGCAATGTCAATTGGTGGCAGGTTGAGTAACCTTTCAAGTGCAGTCGTAGGGGAGGTTCTTAGTGCTCTGGTTATGCAGAGAGCAGCGAGCCGTTTTACTCGCTCTAACGGTTTCCTGTATGGCAGCGGTCCACCACACCAAATCACCGTAAAGTAAGATAGGCTAGACTACCGCTGTGTAACACCAATGCATAAGGACAGGTGAAAGGCCCAATGTTGACCATATCATCTTCTTACATAGAGCACCACTGGCCTTTTTCACTCTCTCTTCACATTGAGTGTCCACGTCAGTTTGATGTCCAAAATTACTCCCAGGTACTTGGTGGTAGTTAACTCTTCCCCGTTGAACCTCGGGGATTTCCATGACGGAATCTTGTGCCTCCTTGTAAAGAGTACCAGCAGTTATCAACATTTATAGCGCTATTTTTCACACTACTGATTATATCTAGGAACTTGCCCGTTACTAATATAGCTATGTCGTCTGCATAGGCCATCAGTTTGGATGCTCTTCCTTCGAATACTCCCCAAAAGCTCATTTGCTACGAGTGACTACAGGAGAGGCGACAGTACACTCCCTGAGAAGTTTCAGTTCATTCTAGTCTGAGCAATCTGACTTCATTATGTTCTGCGCTAATCTTCCTACTACTTAATAGAGTTTTTATTCATGTAGTAATGGCGGGAACTATCCTGGTTGTATCCAGACTACTAACGATAGCACTATTGGAGACATTATTAAATGCCCCGCTTGTGTCAAGAAAGACGCCAAGGGTATTTTTATGTTCTAGAGCTCTCATTATTTTTGTGATTAACTAGGGAAGTGCAGTCTCAGTGGATATACCCGTCGTATGGACGTGAAGAGCTTTCGACACGTTAGCCAATGGGATCTTGCCCCTGATGTAGGCATCTAGAACTTTTTCGCGTGTCTTCAGAAGGAATGATGTTAGACTTATTGGTCTATATTCTTTTGAATAAAGGGGACTGTTTTGGCAGCCTTTGGTATGAATATGGCCTTCGCCCCCCTCCAAAGGATAAGCACATAGCTAAGTCTTAAACATCCCTCATATATTGTCATCAGGTATGGTATCAGCACAGTTGATACATTCTACATCATGGCTGGGAAAATACCGTTCATACCAGGGTATTTAAAGGGTTTGGAGCCGTTGATTGCCAAAAGTAGTTTGTCTTTCGTTATAATTTGCGAGGGCGCGCACTCTTCTCCTTCAAGTTAGTAGAGTCCGCTAGGTCTCTTAGTGATTTCTTACTGGAACAAGTACACTCTTCACATTTTTTCCG